TTGCTTATTATGCAGGAGTCCAACAGCTTTAAACAAAGCAGACCAGCATGAACTTCCAGGTCAATACAGCGTTAAATCAAGAGAAATATACAGGCTTGTGTAAAAGCTAAAGACTTTATATTCCTTTTCTTTAAAAAGAATCAAAAAAAGGTCATTTACAGCAAAAAAATAAAAATCCTAACTTATAGACCAGTCATAGAATAGAAAGTGTAAGTGGATAACTCAACGCAATCAAATCTTCTTATGTTATCTCCATAAAATAAACATGTTTTGAAGTCAAGTGCAACTTTTGGATTCCCTGCTGTTTTCATATCGTTTTACAGCTGGAATATTCTGCATAATGAAAGGTTTCCTTTTTAAATCTGAATCTGTGTGTTGTGATCTCATGAATCCTTATGAAGTGCTGTTTAAATCATGATGTCCGGCAGGTTTTTAAGTCCCTGTAATTAAAGAAAATGGAGGTACCTGATTAAAACATAATCCCATTTATATGCTTGAATATGCTTATGTTTAATCCATGTGTTAAAGTTTTTGAAGCTTTGGTCTGATTTAGTTCCTCTAGCATGTTTAATCTCCATTTTGACATGATTAGACTTAGAGACTTAGATTTATTTTGTCATTTTGTATACCGAGTGTAAACAAAAAGAAATTTTGGTTTAAAACAGCTCAATACAATTTCATTTTTTAAAGTGCAGCCTTGAAAACGTTAATACATAAAAAATAGTAATATAAAAAATGATGACTTGAATTATAACACATTTTAGCGAAGTTCCAGTAAACTGATTGCAAACACACCTGACCAAAGTTTTTCCTCCGCTTCGTTAACTATGAGCATTTCAGCTGCTCTCTGCACGGCACTGTAAATACAACTGCAAATGGTGAACAATGGATGTTGATTGGTCAAAAAAGACCTAGATTCATTAGACAAATGTTGAGCAATGCTAGTAAAAGTCCGAGAAGAAGCTGACATGATGCACCAACAACAGCGACAGAAAGCTAAGTTTAGTGAGGGACGACAAAGACTAGCTTAATCCGGACACAGACCTTTATAAACCAAACTAAAACATCTCCAGGTAAGGCTGAAAGTGTAGAGTTTGAAACAGAGCAGCAAATAAAGCATGCAAGACGCCGACCCATCGTTCTCAGATTGTTCAAATTAAATCACTTCAGAAAGCCTAACAATTCAGACTGTGACTCAACAGACTCACAAAGCTAAAAGTATCTGCCTAAAAACAAAACCTGTAATCCCATTAACCCCTCTGTACCGTTGGAACCCCCCTCACCCCCTTGTCAAACCAATAACATGCGTTATGAGGGGGTAACAGAGTAGGTCTGAAGTTTCCAACCGTTGCTGTGAGCAGAGTCTGCTATGAGTTCAGGAGGACCCTTATGGCGTTTTAATTTTCAGCAACAGCCCTCTCAGCCAAGCATGCAACCACATTTTGTTCACACTGACCCCAAGCACCCCCCCTTCATTCATTCACAGGAAAACACGGCCAAACACACATGAATCTGCTGATATCATCTGGACAGGTGGCCAGCCACCCAGACCTGACCCTCCTGCCCTCTTAGCCCCACCTCCTCCTCCCTCTAAAACCCACCGACCAGAAATCAGTCCAGCCCTGCTGGAAAGCCCCAAATGAACACGCACAGCAAACTACCCCTTCACACACACTCTCTTGCACGCACACACCTCCAAGCTGCCCTGCAAATGTCTGTCACCCACCGAGCTGTCTGTGGGGATTAGTGCCCCGACAGAGGCCCACAAAAAACTGGAAGCTATATAGCTAATGTGAGGAGGGGGAAGTACATCTTTTGTGGACAAAGGAGATTCATTTTGAAAATGCCATTAATTTTAAAATATACATCATCACCTGTACCACTAATATCACTGTCTTGATGTTTACTAACCATTAAAATGTCTACGGGTCGGGTCAATTTTCACTGATACCCAATCTAGAATTTCCTTCAATATCAGATGAGTGGATCTCTAAATATAAATTATATTTTCTTTCTAATCCTGGTACTTTTCTGCTCCACATCACTCATAATGAGGAAAAAAATCTAGATCAAGGAATGTGGTTTGTTTTGACTGCAATAAAGTACCAACTCTCCCCTACGTCAAAAAAAAAAAGCTGACTGACGGTAAGTTTAAGTGTGTCTTAGTATAAATTTCCCTTTTTAATCTTGTTAGAAAATTATTGTATATACACAAAACAAGGTTTGAAATTAATACATGTGTGGCTTTTATTCAGAAAAGCCAATTTCTAAGTAGAAGTGTATCAAATTCAAAGGCAAATCTTAGCAGCCAACGGTTGTGTAGACGTGTTGTTTCTATAGGTCCACAAAGCTAATGCTGTATTTACTTTTCTACAACTACAACTGCCAGAAATGGAGCCTCAAACTGACTGGTGACAGCTTGGGTATGATGAAGGAACTATAACCTGTACTTTGCACATTAAAATGCACTAATGCTGTATCGGATGATTAATCCTGTGCTTCAAACCACACATCTTACACAGCAATAGAAAAAAATATCTTGAGGAAACTGAAGGAGAGTCGCCCTACAGAGCCAATAGGATCAAGACTTGAAGCACTGACCAATACAGAAAGTTTCGTGGTTGTTTCAGCAGAGGGATTTAAGGTAAATCACAAGAGCTGCTATGACTAACTGGGTTGGTTTAAGCTAAGTCAGAGGCAGACTGTTGTTATATGGAGATATGTTGAAACTGAGTCATAACTAAGTATAATTGAAGGCTAAAATATTGAGTTTTTACTTTCTTCCTCGAAATGCACATCTCTCAAAATGTATATACACATGCAAGATATTTGATCAAAGCACCGAAACATAAAAAAGATTAAATCTTTTCTGTGGTTTAAGAGTGAATGTGGTTGCAAAACCAATATAGAACCATTTTATGAGTGATCTGTGATTCTTTTCTCTCTTATAAAGCTACACAAATCCAGAAAAACAGTCAAATATTATCCAGTTAATCTCACCAAAGCATCTAAGTCTTGACAAAGATGTGTTTGGATGTTGCCTGTTTGTTCCCAAGGTGTAAAAGAAAGCTTAACAGACTAACTCCCTTAACTAATCCAGTGGCTATAGCACTTTAAGTAAAATAGATGTGAACTATTTCCTCTAAGCACTAAACATAGATAGAAGGGTTTGTTTAAAGGTCGGCAGGTTTAAAATTGAATCTCAATTAAAAACCAAAAAAGTTTTATTGCATTCTGATATCCGAAACCATTGTCATCTATGTCAGCAGGAAAACTACAGAGTTCTCACATTACATATCGATTTCCAAACTTGGGAATAATTCCCTTTAACATATAAATATGATATCCTCATTAAACACTTAATTCCTACAGAAAACGAGCACCGACTTTGACCTTCTGCAAAAGAGCAAAGAACATTTCTAAAATGTTTCCCTCAGTAATTCATAACCGTATTCTTTGTACCTACCAGATAAACCAGGTACTACTGAACCGATTAAATCTACATCAAACATCGCGCCATGTCTTACTATGCATTTATAAAATGACATTAAGGTGTAATCCTAACAGCAGGTCTATCTGTGAAGTTTGTGCTACTGGCAGTACCAGTCTCCTGAAACCAGATTTTTATTTGCTACTGCATGTAAATGTTATAATAATAAAGTAAACACACCCTGAATACCTTTCATCATGTGTGAATTTCATTCCCGATATGTCCAAGGTTTAAAACTGAAGTTTTGGGTCGACAAAACAGATGATTATGTGTTAGTTAAGGTTTTTTAAATAGCAACCTAACTGTTTGGATATGAGTTGACATGTTCAAATGGGCAGCGCCAGGTCCAGATTAAAAAGGCATTTGAAACACTCTATAGCTTATTTTAAATACATACCTTTTATAATAAAAATAAGACAAATAAAGCTCAAGACTATCAGCCTTTAAAATGATACAACTACCTACAATTCTAACTTACAGAAACGTCTTTTAAATTATTTTAAATTCTTCAAAAAAAAATTGTTTTAATTAAGATATACAGGTTTAAAAATATTGGCACACAATGTAAAAGAAAAAAAAATGCTCTGATATGGCCCTAAATAACCCTTAACTGATCCAGTTTACTTTATGTAAACAGTATAGTCAGCAGGAAAACGAACAACCTTGACTCACACAGAGAGTTGTTGCATGATTACACCAGTACTCTAAATAAAAATACTTAACTACGATTATTAACCAAAACTATCATGAAAGCGATTTTTTATAAGGGATTTCCAGGGATACCTAGTCTTCGTGACATCTAGATCGAAGGCATATGCTACTTTTAGTCGAAGCTCTTAGAAAGTAGCTGTTAAACCATGTGTGTTTGCAGAAAATTCACTGCCAGCAGGTTATGTAGAGCTAACATTATATCACCACGTTAAACCGAACAAAAAACGGGTTTTAGAAATACTACTGAGAAGACACAGATCACAAAGCAACAACGTGTTTCGGCGAGCGTCCATTATCGGACAGCTAGCCGAATCGTCACCGTACTGCCCGGCTAACGGCTGAGCACGTTTCAACAACAAATACAAGCGTTTAGTTAAAATAAAATCCCCGTTAAATTGAAACAGATAGAAGATCTGGATGTTGGAGTAGATTTTTCTATTAAAAAATGCGTTTTTATTCGCTCTGTTTAGTCCCACGGGTTAGCAAGCCTGCTAACAGCCCTCCGTTGTCTGGCAGAAAAGACCACCGGGGGTGAAGTGACGCTAAGCGGGGGGCTAGCTCACCAAACACCGCGGTAATAACAGTCAGCTTAGGCAAGTACCGATAACTGTTGGTGGGGGTGGAGGAACACCCTCACCCAAACACATACAGACTTTTTAAAAACTGTACTTGTCACAAGAAAACACTTCACAACATAGAAGCGACACGTTATGGCCATAAAACTTAACATTCCATCCCTGTAAGTTGTTTTTCTGTTTAACTCAGCTCCCCATCGCCAGCCCCAATTCTTCAGACTCACCCTGTCACAACAGGCGCCATCTTCCACAAACTCTCACCAAAACTCCAATACTCGCGATATCCCTTCTCTCTCCGACAAGCCTAACAATCCGCCGAGACAACAGAAGCAGACTGGAGGTGTAGGGATGACGGAGACGGAGAGAAAAGGGGTGGGTGAGGAAGACTGAGAAAAAAAAATGGGGAGGGGGAAGGAGGGAGGCAGCGGATAACAGCTACACACTGAATAAAGAGAGAGAGAGAGCGAAAAGGGCAGAGACGCCACAACAACAGGCGTGGGAAACTTCAGAGGTAACGCGAGATTAGGAAAACTCTCACAATTGGGCACCATTGAGGGGGCGCTTTGTTCTCGCGAGACATGCGCTCAAGTAGAATAGTTGTTTATCTTGTGGCGCTGTAATACTATTCCCACGTGTGTACCGGGTAATAAATTACAGCACCGATCGGTTTGAGAGAGAAAACAGATCCCAGGACTTCTACACGCACAGTTTTTTTATTTGAATTTCGTCTTCCCATGAAAATAGTTATGTTGGTTAATCCAGTGTTGATATTATTATACACTTAATGTATGATCTTTACCACATTTACAACAAAACAAAAAATTATATATATATATATATTTCAACCATTGATATATTTTAAACAGCAGAGGAATAGCTATTAATACAAACTGATAAAACACAGCAGCATTGCTTTACTTAAAATATATATTCATATTACCAGTAAAATTTGATTGAAAATGGGTAATTTTTATGTCCTATTGTACTCTGAAATTAAAGCATATTAGGCTACAAATAAGCAATTGGAGTAAAAAAAAAAATCTCCATTTATACACCAAAATGTGTTCTAAACTTTTAACTGATGCAAGTAGAAACCATTGGGAGAAATAACAGCTGAATACAGGTGTGGTATTCCTCCTAATAGATCCAAATATTCGTTTGAAAATCCCTCCGATATTACTTATTCCAGAAGGTCCCATATATATGTTGTAGATTGCTTCATTTTACAGTCCTCCACCCAGTTCATCCCAAAATCCGCTCAATCATTCCATCTTGTTTTACTTTCCTGAGGTCTTTGGCATTTTAACTCGTACTTTGGGTAATTGCCGTGCTGCAGGTTGAATCGTTGAGCAAGACGATATTGCATGCTAAAGCAGAATGCTGTTGTAGCCATTTTTGTTCAGAACCAAACAGCCCTAAACCATCACACTTCCTCTTCCATGTTTGACAGTTGCTTTCCTTTCGCCTATGCTGTTTAATCTCAGAAACATGTTCTATGATCTGGGCCAGGATTTGAAATCAAGAACTTGTTGTTTCAGGGAAACAGTGCTACAAACTGTGCAGCCATAGCTTCCTGATGTTCTTTGGACTTGAACAACTTCCACTGCAATAAATAACTGAAAAAGATGGAGCTTTCTAGAACTTTTGTCCAGTAGTGTGTACTGGTCTAATATTCTCTTTTCTTCCATTTGTGTATTTTGCATTTTTCAAGGTCACAATGTAAAATTCAGTTTTGGTGAGGTATAACAGTAGGACAGCAATGAGTAAAAAAAAAAAAAATGCGCTCAATGTGACCTGCAAGAATCTAGAAAGTTGGAAGAAACAGGACCAAACATGACTTCCACATTCAAGATGGCTGCCACTCATATTCATACCAGTTCAACTTTCCAACTTTTATTTTTTGCAGTTTTTGACTTTTTATGTAACATTTAGTCACTTGTAAACCAACTAGATTTTAGTGTTGATAAGATTAAATGTTTTATTGCTCTCTCTTTACCAAAATAGCATGTTAGGCATTAATACCGCCATTGTTATCATCATAAGAGTGGCCGCGCAGTGGACATATATGAAAAACAAAGAATAGGAGCGTCTACAATTGGGAAACTGGAATGCAATCACCTTGGAGGTTACACCAGTCTGACTTCTCAGTATCTGCATTCATTTACTTAGGGTAAAATTGCCTTTTGACAGAGAGGGTTTAACTGCACCGACACATGCTGAACTCATCTGTATGTTCCCATTGATAAATAACAGGGAAAAAAACTCTCTAAAGGCTTTACTATAAAATATCGCAAAGACTGGGCTGAGAGAAAAATTACTCAGAGGTGTTTCCTTGTTCAATATTTTTGTTCGCAGTTTAGTTTTATAGTTTTTTCGTCCCTCATTATTAGTCATCTGCTTTAACAAAACAGGTTTACCTAGTTCGTGTCTTGAATAATGACGAGTTAAATTAATCCCTCTTATCTGATATTGCAAGGGAAGCAACTCATTTGTACCTGCGGCGACTTGAGGCAACATTTGCCAACATCTCTAGTCTCAGCAGCAGAACATACATAAAAATCTTCAAACAAGTATAGTAATTTGGAGTATTAATGGAGGTTTTTTAAAATATGTTCATTTTCAAATGTGTCTCTTTAATAATCACAGTTATGAAGAAAATGATTATAGGGTTGCCAATGATTCTAGGGTTGCCAGCTCTAGTGGTTAGGGCATAGAGCTTGGAATACTGAGGTTTTGAGTTCGAAACCCTGAGCAAAAGACCCTTAACCCAACACTGCTCCTCAAGTGCCCCACGATGGCAGCCCACTGCTCCCCAAAGGGGATGGGTTAAATGCAGAGTTAATTTCGTCTCTCTGTACTCGTTACAGTTTAATAGCAATAAAATTAAATAAGAGACACAATGAAGACATGAGGGATTTTTTTTTTGTCTTTTATGTGTGTGAATTCATCCTGAATAATATTAGACACCTAATTTTATTTCTTAATGCAGTGCACTTTTTTATTTAAAGTTGGCAGCCATAAATGGTTAATATTTTTTTCAAACAACAGAATCATGTGGGGAAAAAAATAGAATCACTGAAAAAGAACCACAAACCAAAAATAACTACAATTTCTATCTTATGTTTGTTTTATTTTTCTAAGACCTTACAACTGTTTTTGTGTTTGTATTACTCCAACAATTAGAGAAGGAAACAAAACTAAACTGAGAACTGGTGTTAGACTGGTGACTGTATGTAGGACTGAAAATAATGGAGGGGTTTCTACACAGCCCATTCACTATTCCCCTGGGTAACATTGCACTCCCTGTTTAGACTGTGGAAACAATGGTGTGAACACATGTGAAGGGGGCCATACCAGCCAGATTAGTGCATTGCCATCACATTGGGGAGTCCCATGACCACCCTCCTTACCAAACCTCAGTTAAAACGACAAGAGGGCCTATTATTTAGAATAATCATACTTGGAAATGTGGCATAGATGTTATTAGGCCTACTCTGTGTGTGTCTGCTTGGCTTCCCCAAAGTTAGTGTGTCAAATTCTCCCCACAACAAACAGGTCGGGCCATTCTTGTTTACCTGGGAGGGGTCGGGAAGCCGTAAACCTCCATGTAGGTCCGTGGCCTTCATTTGAATTTGTTTACCATCTTTGTTCAGCTAACAAGTGATTTCTGGTTGGAGATTTCCAGACCTCAAAGATGAAATGAAGGCTGGTGGGACCACACTGATGTTCGTTTGTTAGTTACAGAGTGTGTGACCAGCTTGTTGGTTCAGATGAAGAAAAAAAAAACTGAAAGGAAATCAGTAACATAGCTGCTCCCTCCTTAAATGTGTCATTTCTGAAGTCAAACACTCATTCAAATAAGTGGGAAAAGAACTAGTTAATCACCACTAAATAAATTGATAAAATATAAACAAGGATGAATCTCTTTATTAGGATAAAACAAGGAATAGATTCTGCAAAAACATCATACATGCGTCAACAACTATCCATCTTTCAGCGATTTAACAATTTACTTAAGAAACAAAGAAAATGTAAGCCTCCTCCTATTTTTGGACAAATTCTAGGTATTTTTTAACAATTTTCTGCTTAAAAAAACGTTAAAATTGTTGTCTATATATTGTCTTTGATTTCGCTCATCATATTGTGTTCGTTGCGACCAAGTTTTTTTTTTTTTTTCCAAATGACAGCCTTTATCATCCAAGATTATATTCTTCACAATATTCCAGTGATCCAACAAATATGAGTTTTTCTCGACAGTTTAAATTTTTTCTTTTTTTAAATGAAAGAGCCTCCCTTTGCTGGTTTATTTCTCTGGCTCTCTGTTAAGTGACCCGTTGTGCAGGATCTACTCAAAGATCTGTTCATCGAGCTGTACAGAACAGAAAGCAGCTGCAATATTATTCATTTAAACAGTTTTTTGTGCAAACTAAAATCTATGAAATAAAAATAAAAAATTCATGTAATTTTTGTCATCAAATCTCAATTTTTGAGATCATTTAAGTTCTATTCTATTCTTTTAAATACATAATATTGAATTAAACTAACTTCTATGCTCTAGGTTATTTGGGATTTCCAAAACTTATTTCTATTTTCTAGATTCTACAATAAGGACACAGAGAACGAACACAGCCAATATATCAGGTAGAGAATCGCTGACCTCCATAAATCAAGTTAATCTTTGTGGCCGTCTTTATCTTGTTGAACAATTTAGCACATTTTTAAAAAAGCCACTCAAAGAGGACAAAGTTGACTCTCTAGAGGCGACATAAAAGCCTGAATTTTCTCATCATGTGTAGTCTGGAAAAGTAAATGTGGGGCCATTAGGCCTATTTTTGCAGTCCGAGGGAAACGGAGGAAGCTTAAGCCTGAACACCTTACCAATTGTGAAGTAGAGAGGAAGCAACATTAAAATATGTGGGGGGTTTTTTTACTGGTGGAGGCACTGAAGCACTTCACAAACAAAAAAGAACCACGTCCAAAGACATCACTCAATAAGTTACATCCTCAGTGCTAATTGTAACAAAGTGGTTATAAGTTCAATTTAATTCAGTTTATTTATATAGCGCCAATTCACAACACGTCATCTCAAGAAACTTTATAGTTTACCAGATCACACAGTCAAATTGATTCAAAGTTTTCTATCTAAAGAAAACCAGTTGATTGCATCGACTCATTGACTCTGATGCAATCCCTCACACTAAGCATGCTTGTAGCAACAGTGGAGAGGAAAAACTCCCTTTTAACAGGAAGAAACCTCCAGCAGAACCAGGCTCAGTGTGAGCGGCCATCTGCCGAGGCTGACTGGGGTTCAAGGAGACAGAAGCAGAGATACAAAAGGCAACTGTAAAAGGCGGCTCCGTCCAGGAAACACAGAGCCAGGCAGACGAGCTCTGAGCCAACTCCCATGTCACAGGGTTAAGAGAGC